CCCTTTTTTGAAGCCGGTTAAAAATTTCTGAGTTCTTTGTAAATTTTATGTAAATAAAACGCAAAAAAAAAAGTTTATTTATTTATTTCATACTGGAAATAAAACTTTCATAAATGTATTTTAAAATATATTCCTGCGTGCGCCCCTGGCACTTAGTATTTATTATTTGCAAAAAATAGATTTTTACTTTCAAAATGTTTGTAATTTTAAACATTTCATGTGTATATTTTAAACAACTCATGTTCAAAATCAAATCTTGAACATCTTATGCGTATACTTGAACAGATTCTGGTTGAAAAATAAACACTTTTCAGAAGTAGTTTTACATGCACTTTTTAGAGTGTGGTGCGCTCTAAAGCCTGTTTACCATCTTTATTTTTTTTCAATTTTTATTTTTATTTTTTTTGAGATGGCGTATTTTCAAAAACCATTTTTTTTTATCAAAAAATTTGTATGTGAAAAATTTTTCAAGAGAAAAAAAATTTTAATAATATTTATTTTCATAGAGAATTTTGTACGTGTGATTTTTTCAAATTTTTCCTCACCCTGTTCTCAAGATATTTGAAAAACTGAAATTGTTTTTTTTTCTTTTGTTTTTGTGCTGTAAAGTTTTTAAAAACGTGTTAATCAAGCTCAGATTTCATGTTTATTTATTATTTATGTTTATGCATCACCTAAAAATGTTAAACAAATCAAACACATGAAGTGTAAACCCCGTCCGGTTTGGTACGAAACGCCCCATGTACAGTATTGTTCATATTATTTGCAACAAATTTCAAATTAAAATTTCTTGCCGCTAATGTTTATTTACTTATTCTTAATAGTTTTCCTTTAAAATATACACGGTTCCGTCTATAACTGAAGCAATATAAATACAAGTTTAAAACTTTGTACAAAATTTATAGAAATTAAACAAATTTGAAAAAAATTTTCATCAAAATTTTTAACCTTTTAATCAGAATTTTTAAAAACAAGACGTTAACTTCATTTGCTTGGCAGGCTTAACCGATTTGAATAGTTTTATGTTTAATTTTTTAATTTATTCGCTATTGTAATCGGATGGTCTAAAAATATGTACTAATAAAAATTAAAGCGTTGCCACCTATTGAAACCCTTCAGTTTAAGAAAAATTATAAGATAAAGTAAATATTGCAGAATGGGTGTTAGAAGAATGAGGTTCAAGTGATTGGGAAAGCTTTGCTAGACAATCTTTTTTAAAAGTTATCACCTGTCCAAAATTAAAAAGTTTTAATGCAGAAAGAATTTACAACATATCAAATAAATATGTATCCGGCGTTCTTCTCTGCGCCCTCAAAGTATTTGTGTGTTGTTACTCTCTCCAACTACATAGTACATCTTATGGTCTTATTTATGAAAAATTAAATAAATGTTGTGCCGTTTTCTCAAGTAGCTTTTAAAATGTGTGTGCCCTTTGTACTCAAAGAATTTATTTAAAGGGAAGATAACTTTTAAAAGCTACTTGAGAAACGGCTTTGTAAAGTGAGATTTGCATACAAATTTTCGATTATGAAGCATTTAAAGTATTCTCAATTATTTATGAATTTGGTTGATAGCTAATATTGCTTAAAAGGTACTTAAATAGTAGGCAAATACAGACCAGTGATAAAATTTTCGGAAATTTCACGCACAAACATTCAAAGTTTAAAAGAAAACAAAGGCCCGTAAATAGTTATAGTCAAAATAAAGTCGACTCTAAAGTTAAAAGCAGGTTTTTTTGACAGATATCCCATTGAAAGTTATGTCAAAAAGCTGCTTTTAACTTTAGAGTCGACTTTATTTTGACTATAACTACGGGCCAAAGGGTTTACTTTTATTTGAAAAGAATCCTAATCACTTGCGCTCCTCTCCTACTTTAGACGGAAATATGCAGAAATCGAATGTACATATGAACATATCTACTTATATCAAACTGCATATGTATACATACTTCGACACCCAACTGCATTATCTTATATAAAATTTTTTCCCCAAAAAGCTGCAGGCAATGTTACCGCTTAAAATTTTTATTAAAAAAAATATTTAGTGCAATAGTATGTAATTTTTACAAGAATTAAATTGTTTAAAAAGTCAAAGTTGGACATATCATTTTGTACCAAATTCAAAATGATGTTGTTTGCCACTTATGTTTATTTATTAGTTTTTAAGATTTTTCAATCAATTAAAATG